TGTTAATTGTTGTAAAGTTCTTTTCAGTAATTGTGTGATGCATATTGTATGATAGTAGCATTTATTCCGAGCCCCACGATAGGAATGTGGCTGGAATTCAAGTTAACGTCTTCCTAAAAAAAAAAAAAGAAAAATTTTGCAATTGTTTCTGTTATATCTATATACACATATATATGTCTGTGTTTGCTTATTTGTACAGGCATAACTGCGCATATGGGTGTGGGTTTGCTTATCTTGACAAAAAGATTTCAATATAAATGAATCTTTATGTGAAAGAAAATCTTTTGGATGAATAAGTTACTATGGTACTCTCACCTTCAGCTGTCTACCCCTTTATCAATTGTGATAAATTCCTGATGATAAGTATTTTTCATTGATATTTATTTACGAGAAAACTTTGCATCATTCGTAAATGTGTTACCGACTAAATTTGAAGTTAAACAAAAATTCGTATCGCTAAGTGACAGTTATTATAAAGAAATAAATCCGTTACTAGAGCAAAATATTTGATTATCTTTAAGTGCTTCACTCTTGTAGTTTTGTGATCATACTAAGCTAAATAAACATGTGTTGATAATATATATATATAGAGAGAGAGATTTTCTAAGCGTAGCTTAGATGTGGCACAAGGCCGAAAGTACGAGGCACCGAGTGAGGATCGAACTCACTATTCAGTCGGATCTGTTTTAGCGAGACAAGCTTGCTAACCATTACACCACGCCGAGGTGCCTAGACAAGACTCTTTGGTAAATCGAATGGCGTTCTCTCAGTCACTGTGTGTTTATTTAAAATAAATACTCTTAAATTCACCTTCATCCCTGCCATGCGCCAATGGCCAATTCAGTCGGGTTTCGATCCTAGCTAGAGGCAACCGGCCACACTGATGAGCTGTGATACAGAGAAACAGTCTATGTGGATATAAATATATATATATATATATATATATATATATATATATATATATATATATATATATATATATATAGCCTATCATGCTCTAGATAAAAACGGTGAAGCTCGATGTACAAAACCACCTCAATCCTGTTGTTAACTGGACCAAAAGATGGCTTGTCAGTTTTAACACCGCCAAAACTAAATTTCTCTCCATTAACCACCTGAGAGACCCCGACCATCAACATGGCTGATGCTATACTACAGGAAAGTGACTCATTGTGCTTTCTGGGGCCAACGTTCTCAGCTGATATAAAGTGGAAGCATTATATTAAATCTATTGCTAGGTCAGCTGCTAATAATATATATCAAAGGAAAAACTTAACGCATCATTGAAAACTCGGTTATAAATTATAATTTATTTCAACGGTTTTAATACCTCTCTCATCAGGTCGAAATGACAAATGATTTAAATTTACAAAATGATCTAAATTTATCCAGACAATATTTAAAAAAAGTAATTAAAAAGAAAAAAAACGAGATAACAATAAGTCCAGACGCTTGGCCTAGAAAATCTATTTTCTGAGGATTTATATTATTGAAGAGATGGATGGGGAGAGGAAGCAGCAGTCAAACCGATGTTCATGCGTGGTGGTTGGGAGAATACGAGTAACAGCTAGATCCTTTCCACCTTCTGATTTGACATTATATATATATATATATATATATCGTTAAATATGATGTATAAAGAAAATTTTATTAAGATTTAATTTATTTATTCCAGCGTTCTTACATTTTCTCCGTTTGGTGGGAGTGAGAGAAACTAGAAACAAACTAGAAAGACGCTCACTCGAATTCCAGCCGCACTCAACACGCGAAGGCCCTGAATAAACGCTCCTACTAATTTTCAAATCAGTACAAAAATACATTACGGAAAACTACGGAAAAATGTAAGGAATCTGGAAAAACTAAATAAAAAATTAATAAAATTTTCCTTGTCCGTTATATTTAACGAAAGATATCTATAGATATCTATTTTTTTATATTAATGTTAACGTTCTTTCATTGTCTGAATTGTTATCAACAACAAATATTGTCTTCTTTTGTTCCTTCTTTTTTTTTCTTTCTTTTTTCTTTCTCCTTTTGTCCATTTTTTTTTTTTGTTGTTGTTTTTTGTTTTTCGTATTCATGTAGATCTTTCTCCTATTCGTTTTTCTCTTCTATTCTTTTTTTATTCTTTTTCTTTGGAGATATAACGTGTTGTCTTTTAATTTTTCTTAACTCTTAAATTTTTCTTTCTTCTTTCTCTTTTTTCCTTTTACTGTCTTCTTATCCTCTTCTGTTTGCTCTCACCTGTTTTCTTATTTTTATTTTTTTTCTTTTCCTTTTATGGAAAACCTTTATATATTTCTTTTCCTTTTATGGTGTTTCTCTTTATATTTAAAAAAAAATGTCTAATGAAAAAAAGAAAGTGATGGTTCATAAGTAGCATTTTTAAATAGCATCGAAACAAAAATGCATCTTTGTCATGAGTACTTGTTTGTATGTAACATCTTTATAATATATATATAATAATATATATAATATATATATAATATATATATATTATAATAATAATAAAAATATATATAACATATATAGATATATAATGATATATATAATATATATATATATGTGAAAGTGTGTGTAAATATATATATATATATATATATATATATATATATATATATATATATATATATATATATTATAAATTAATTGATTTAAAATATGTTTTTTTTCGCTACACAGTTCCAACCATGTTTCTATTTTTGAAACATGGTTGGAACTGTGTAGCGAAAAAAACATATTTTAAATCAATTAATTTATAATATTAATGCTCTGTAAATTTACATTGAGCACTATTTTGTAAAAATAAAAATATCTATAAGAACACCGGATTTTATATCTTACTGTTCTTTTTTTTTTTATTTTATTATATATATATATATATATATATATATATATATATATATATATATATATATTATTTATATATTATATGCGCGGTACTTATTAGAAAGCGCTCAATATCAGAGATAGAGCAAACATATTTGGTTGAATTGATGTGAGTTTGTGACCCTGGGTTTTAGGCTTTTGCGATCGTCAGACCAAACTGATTAATTTTTTAAAAATTTTGGGTTTATGTAGATTGCGTGTATTGGTGTTATTATGGGAGTGTATATATATATATATATATATATATATATATATATATATATAAAATTTCTAAAGAATGGATTTACTTTGTAATCTGACACATTTCTTCTACTGACGTGCACAATTAATTAAAGAAAATGTTTCCTCCAGCAGTATTAGAACCTGCGTCCGGTATGCTTTAACATCTCGGCCATGAAATGTTTTACAATCGTAACCAAGCTGTCAAAGCACATTGGATCAAACGAGTGGTAAAAGCACGCTGGATTCATATAAATATATATCCCGAACAATGTATAGAAAGTGTTTTAATTGCTAGATCATCGAGAGTAAATTTACATCCAGGTTCTTAGAACATTTCACTATTCTCGGTAGATCTTCAACCAAAACAAATATTTAAAAAAAGAAAACCTTTAAATTTAAATTCTCAACGTCTTTTTCCTTGCAGATAATTATTTCTTTTATTTCTTCCAGGTTTTCTGTTTTTGGATTAGGTAACAGTTCTTACGCTGAGTTTTGCGCTTTTGCCAAATTTGTAGACAGACGTCTCTTTGAACTTGGCGCCAAATCTATCCACTCATTGGGAGAAGGTGATGAACTCGGTGGGCTGCACGAGTCTTTTGAAGCGTGGTCGAAAGAATTACTAAAGGTGAGTATGGGTTTACAGTCAGAAACAAGTGTTTGTCGTTGTGTACCGACAGACATTGTGTACGAGTATTTGACGATATTAGTCAAAATAAACGATGTATTAATAGTGCGGTTTATAAATGTTAACGTCTGAAAAAAAAGGCCCTGCTATCTTTTAATCGCTAGAGAACCTTTCTTGCCTTAGCTAGAATGCTAATGCTAACCTCCATGGAGAGTAATTGGCCATGGTTAAGTGACAAAGTTTGCAATAAATAATAACAAGAAAAATAAAAGAACAGGGCAAAAATAATATTAAGAAAACAATATTCGCAAGACCAAAATAGGCAAAGCAACAGTAATTAAACAAAAGGTTCACAAAGAATGATTTTGACACACAAACGGGATATCGACAAGTAGTCGCAGCGTTCTGACTTCAAGACAAAAAAGAACAGAAATATGGCAGATGAGACTGGGAAGTGTTCTATCTTATTGAAAGAAATCCCAGCATTCTTCTGCTTGCTTTGTGTATAAATTTGAGGAGGGTTTGTTTTTTTTTTTAGTCAATCCTATAAAGAAGTAGAATAAACAGTGTTGACCAGCATTTTCCCCCTCCCTTCGGTCCTGTGCTACATACAAATGTAAATTTGTAAAATAAATATTCATATAAAGCTTGGAACCAACACTCCATGAGAGCTTGGTCGCCTGATTTCCACTGACAGAAAGTCGAATGATTATATTGAATCAATTGCTTGATTTGCTGCTAGGAAAGTCGGCTAGATAATTTTTTTCTCGCCAAAATTCATCTTACATGTCAATACATCTACCATTTGTCCGTGCATTAAATACTGCTGCTATACCTGGTCTGGTGCTCCTACTATATATCTCAGGATTCTTGACAAAATCCAAAGGGTCTGCAATGTTATTGATCCTGACCTGGCATCTCGACTTCAGTCACTTTTCCATCGCCGTGAAGTAACTTACCGTTGTCTTTGCTATAAATATTTTCATGGCAGTTGTTCTAATGAGCTCTCCTTCTTGTTACCTCGATCGCATGAATTTAAACGTATTACTAGATTGGCAACTAGGTCCCATCGTTTTACTGTTGAAATAGCTTGATCTAACCGTAAGTTCTATTCTAATAGTTTCTTTTCTCACACTTCTCGCAGGTGGAACTCTCTTCCGGTTACCCGTTTCCCTGCTATCTGCAATCTTAAAAAAATTAAATGCAACGCTAATCGCAATCTTCTGTCTTTTTGAATTCTGTTCTTTTTTGTCCTTTCTACTCATTAAAGTCTTATCACTCTCTTTCACTAGCAATAACCGCATGCGTCTTAGTGGCATTATCGCCTTGCTTGGAAGGAAATGATTAAAATAAAAAATAATTTTATAGCGTAAGGTTTGTAAGTTTCCATTTAAACTTTTCTAATGTTAGGTTCATTTATTTCACATAACTTCATATATTGATAACATAAGGTTTAGATATTTCAAGTAGTTTTATATCCTTATATGTTCGCAGTTGTTAGTATTTTTATAATGTAATGTTTAAAACTTTCACATGAAATATAATGCTCATAATGTTCACATATTTTTGGACCCAGGGCCGATGCAAGGCTCTCGTGACCCCCTCTGAATCTATGATACAGGGCCCCCCACTCTGCTACATCTCATTTTTCATAAAGGTCAGTCAGTTATGTGCCATGCGGGATACACGCTTAGGCGAACATGTATCTTCCTATACATGACTGACGAAACAGATTTGTTTCCCGCAGTAGGTTGCCATTTCATTCTGTGATAGACCAGTTGGTATCCAAGAACCCAGTCTGTCCTGCTATTTACCTATAGCTGAGGGGAGAAAAAGATTCATACCTTTCCCAAGGATATTAGTAGGTAACTGAATGTAATGGATTCGACTGCAATTTTAACTCAGCTCTCCGATTCCTCAATATCATAAGGTAGTATTCATATAAAATACAAATTTTATTGCAACCTTATTATGTACAATAATAAATCATATGCGATATAGGTGAACAATTCAACGAGAAAAATTGTTGTTTCATTTAAGATAGAATGATCTATCATGATATGTCTCTAATTTGTATTTAGATACAGTATATTTATTTTCAATTTTTCTAGTTGAAGTGTTTACCTGTATTGCCTGTGATCCATTATGTACATAATTACGTTACAATAAAATTTATATTTTATCTGAATACTATCTTATGAAAATTGATATGGGGGCCGTGTATCATATATTCGGGGTGGGGTACTCTAGACCCTTGCACATGCCCTAGCTGTACTTTTATTGTCCTTTCTCCTCACTAAAGTCTCATCACTCTCTTTCACTACCAGTAACCTCTTACGTCTTAGTGGCATTATCACCTTGCCTGGGGCGAAAAGGTTAAAAACAAAATCCAGAGTAATATAGGCATTAGTAATTATTGCGCATTCAGCATTAGTATTTATGTTGGAAGCAAAACAAAAACGCGCGTAGATATGGCTTCGATAGGACGTACACAAGAAACAAAAGTGGAATAAATCTGGCGAGAAGACATTTTCTATTTTTGTGCGTTTACTCAGTTCATTGCCTATCCGCATGCAGGCGGATTACTACCTGTATAAGTACTGAGTTATTCTAAATATTTTTAAAATAAAGTAAAAAAAAATAAAGTTTCCCTAGCAGGACCTCAAAAACAAGGTTGAAAAGGAAGGCGAGAAAAAAGGACTAACTATCACTTATCAGAATACAGGATTTCATACCTAATAAACAGTTCAAGAGACAAGAATTGGAGACGTCAAGATCAAAGAAAATCTTTCAAGAGTTTGATTAAACTCTGAATACATCTGCATCATTTGTTGAGAAGAAACAAAATTCTTCTGATTATAAACCACAAATAAAAGCAGATTTTCAAAATTGATCATTTAGTAACAGCAAGAATTTCGAGGTTTCATTTTTCTTAAAATACTACAAAATTAGGCAAGCACAACTTCTGTCTGAATTTCTGGGATAAAGTGTTATTTACATTATTTATATATGGACTATTGGCTTTATCTTTGTTATTATCTTATCACAACATTTTGGCTGTGGTGCCCTCTAGCCTTCCTCAGATGATTATCAATCTGGGTAACCTTCAGGGAATTTCAAACAGAACCCTTTATTTAATCTACAATAGTATATTGTTCTTGTTCTGCTGTGGATGTCTAAGAAGTACAGAAGTTTCATTTTTATTAAGCATTTCACTCCAAGCAAGGAGTGCTACTAGCACGCAGGGGGTTACGGAGAGTGAAAGTGAGAGGAAAGAGTGTGTATAGAGGGGATTGAGGAAAGAAAAATGGACGGGGAGCAAAGCAACAGAAGATGACGATTGGCGTTGCATTTAATTTTTTGAAGATTGTAGTTATCAGGGAGGAAAGGCAGAGGAAAGCAGTTCCAATGTCGGGAAGTGCGAGGAAAGAAACTGGTGGAGTAGAAGTGGCGGTTATATTTAACTATTTCAACAGTAAACGGGTGGGACCTAGATGCCAATCGAGTAACACGTTTAAATTCATGTAGTCGCGGCACCAAGGAAAAAAGCTCGTCAGAGCAGAAGCCATGAAAATAATTGTAGGAAAGACAGAGAGAAGCCACATCACGTCTTTGAGAAAGTGTCTGAAGTCGAAAAGCCATTTCAGGAGCCATTACATTACCGATCCTTCTTTGACCTTAATTGAGAACCTCGAGAATATCTTGGAAGCGTTTTAACAGTTGACGAAAAATGTGACATCGAAAACCGAAGACGTATTATAATAGAGAAAGATGCCTTCCAAAAACTGAGCAAAGTATTAAGAAACACGAAAAGTCCGTTAGAAAAACAGTGCCGAATTAAAATGCCATATACTGATATCACATGATATTCCATATATATGTTTCCGTATGGCAGTGAATCTTGGACAACTTCCTCACTGATAAATAGAAGATTGAAGGCAACAGAGATGATATTTTATAGAAGGACACTGAGAATATCATTGGCGGAGCATATAAACAACAAGTCAGCTTTAAGGAAAATGAAAAAAACAACGTGACGCAAGGCGTTAATGGGGAGTGAAAGAGGATATGAAAATTTTAGAAGTAATTGAAAACCCAATCCTAAACAGAAAATAGGAATAAGCCACTACTTAAGTGGCAAGGGTAGGAAAGAAGTGTAAAGCATGCGATAGGAGAAATTATCTACATCTATTTCTTGCAAGACATGTACAACCTATTACATGAAATCATAGAAAGGAATAGAAATAAGATGAAAGAAAACCTAATCCATAATTAATACGAATTGATCAGGCTACATTAAAGAAATTTGAAAGCTAGTATATGTAATTTTAAAAAGGAATAGAAATAAGATAAAAGAAATTCCAATTCAAAAGTAATGAGAACTGATGAAACTTCAACAAATGAATTGGAAAGCTAGTGCATGTAATTGTAGAAAGGAATAGAAATAAAACGAAAGAAATCCTAATCCATAATTTATACGAATTGACGGGGTTTCCCGAAAGCAATTTGAAAACTAGTACAAAACAATAGAAATAAGATGAAAGAAATCCTAATAAAATTTAATGAGAATTGACGAAGGAAATCCTACTCCATAATTTATACGAATTGATGAGGCTTCATCAAAGAAATTTGAAACCTACTACATGTAATCGTACAAAGAAATGCAAATAAGACGAAAGTCGATAATTAATACAAACCCTTAATTAATAAGATAGGTACCTCCACTAAATTTTCGATATCTAAGTTTTAAAATTAAATTTTAAAAATGAAAAAGCATTCTTGAAGATTTCATTCCTTTTTAATTGAAAGCTAAATGATAAAATTTATTATTTCCATTAAGTAGAATATTCTGGTGTATTTCAGATAAATATTATATAGACTGGAATGTCAAATACTTTCTCAATTTTTTAAAATTTTCTTAAAAGTGGTCATTTTCTTAATTCTTAAGAAATTTGTTTATCGTGTTTAAAATTCTTTAAAAATTAAATTATAGATTTATA